AACTTCCAGACGAAGAAACGCTGCAGAAAAGCTCTGAAGAACTCCCAAAAGGCTCTGAAGGATTCCGAAGCATCAGAAGATATCAAGCCACGTTTTTTTGTCAAGAATATATGATTAATCCTTTGTGATTTCATTTATTCTTGATCAAACAAAGCAAAAGGTTGAAGAACGTTCGAAGATCTGAAGAACGAAGCTTGAAGATTCGAAGATCTGAAGAACGAAGCTTTGAAGATTCGAAGATATGAAGAACGAATCTTTGAAGGTTTGAAGATATTCATATGAAGATTGAATCAAGATTCAATTGAAGATCAAGCCATATATCCCGGGAGGCCCTTAAACAGAAGATCAAGCCATAAAACGGCCCTTTTGTTGAAGATCAAGCCACTTGAAAACCGGAGGCCCTTCAAGCTGAATTCCTTATTCAAGAAGATTTGAAGATCCGGAGAACGAAGGTTCGAAGATTCGAAGATCTCAAGAACGAAGATTCGAAGACCCGAAGAACGTTCGAATATTTGAAGAATTAGAGATTTAATTTTTAATTAAATTCTTTAATTATATTACTTCAAATTGCAAGTGAAGAATCAGAGGATTCATATTTAGAGATTGTACCCGATATTCTCACATATTATTATTTGCGATCAATTTTAAGTAAATACTTAAAATTTGTTTCACACACACCTTGAGTGGCCCATAGGGGTAGCGGTAGCTACCGCGACCGCTATAAAGCGGCCTTGATAGCCGTAGCGGCCGGCTATTTAAAACCATGCGTAGAACTCAAAATATTATGTTCTGTGTCGGCATATCCTATCTACCATAATAACTTATCTATATATTATAACCTCAGCTTTAATTGAGACAAACTCTATTGGAGAGATTAAAAATTGTGGAAGTACAATAGAAACCACTTAATTTAAATTATTAAAAATGAATCAATTTTAATCTCTCCAAGTACTTGGGCCAAATCCTCACTCGTTATCTGTCAGTATGTAATTAAAAGTCAATTTTAAATCGCATGAATTTAACTATTTTCATACAAATTTTTCTTTATTTTATTAATATAATTTTCATAAATCGGTTGAATCAGCCAATACATTCACTTCTGTCAGAATTTCAACAGATCCATCCGATTCAATCGATTTGAGTGTTATCAAACGAGGTCCATGCATTTTGTTTTTATATAAATAAAGGAATCGATAAAGTTGGAGGGATACACTTTTTGTTTCTAAAAATAGGATCTAGTGATTCTAGTTCTAGTCTTAAAATACTTCCACTATTACATAAACCTCGTAGACCTAACCTGCGATACTATTACGAGTATCACTACAGATTTGGAATATATTTATTTATTTATGTTATGTTTTTATTCTCAATTATTGTTATTGTAGTAATTAACTAGGAAACTTCCTCTTTTCCTTATTGTTGACCGATACTATAATATCGGTATACTCATTGTATAAAAGAGGGACGTGCAGCAAAGGCATCGGTATACTATAACAAGCACACTTTCTTCTTCTTCTTCGTGTGATATATTCCAAATCTGTAGTGATACGAACTCCTAATAGATTCCTTGAGACAGAGCGTGCGTTGCTTGGGAGTTACAGAGGCGGAGGAGCAAATAGCAGAGGCACTGATACGAGAGGATTGGGGTAAGTTTTTTCAATTATATATTGAAATTATTATTACTTCAATTCATCGATCACGCGCAAAAAATCGCAGGTTTTCATACATGACCATAAATCGTTAGTTCAATGTGACAACATGTAGAATTGGTCGTTTTTTCTGCAAATAATTCCAATTGATTTAGGAAGTCGGACAAGCAATGGGTAGCCAGGAAGAGCATATTTATTTATCAGGCTGAAAAATACAGTTTTAAAAGATTTGTTCTGGCACTAAAATAGCAGTCGTTCATGTATTCATCTGATTCGGCGCACTACTATTAATGAGTTCTCAATTTCGAACTAGAATAAGCACAATAGCCAAGCATCTTTACCTTGCGTGCGATTGTTGGGTGAGTCTAACAAATTCATCTGTTTGGATCAGTTGAACTTTAATTATTAGAATCTGTTTTATATAGAGCTAGTATTCGTCAGTACTGTTGCACTTCTTGAGAAACTGAATCGAAGCCCCTGATGCAATTCTCCCAATTGTTTATGTTCGGATATGGATGTGTTTGCACTTTTTTATATAAAAGGAAATAACTCAGTTATGTGAATATTACTCACTTTCAGGTTACAGCAATTGACTTAAGTGATTGAGCTATGGAGTTGACATCAACTAATTCTGAAGGAAAGTTGTGTCATCGTCCTTATTGTCCAGCACCGCAACAGCCTTTGCTCTTTTTCCGTCAAAATGAAAATGGTATACTTTATAACATCACAGAGCAGTCTTACTACAAAATTGACACATCTTTCATGGATAACAAGTATGTGATCAGCGGCGGCGCCAATAGGGATGGATGGATGGTACTACAAGATTGCGACACTCAAGGTGTTGTGCTTGCCAATCTTTACTCACATGAGATGGTCCAGCTCCCAGAATCAGAACTATGCATGGATCCTCGCCGGAATCCAGATTATGATTCTGTAAGACGTAATTTTGCTTATATTTCGTCCAATCCTCGCGATCCTAATTGCTATGTTGTCTTGGTTGATTTCGACGATGCCATGTTTTTTAGCTTCTGCAAAATCGGAGAAACCGAATTTAAGATGAAGCCAATATCATTTGAAGAGCGGTTAGAGTCAATCACAAATTTTGATGGAGAGATGTATGGGTTGATGAACACCACGACTTTGGTACGCCTCCAATTCAAGGGAGAAGATGTTGAATTTCATCAATTGATAAATGATAATAATTTTACTTATAACCCGTCATCAAGACTAAAAAATCTCATGCGGACGAGGGGTTATATCACCGAAAGCTGTGGCGAAATTTTACTAGTTGCCAAAATTTATCTTGGGTTAACTACATATAATCACCCACATTATTACCCTTGTGAAAAGATTAGAGTTTTCAAAGCAAATTTATGTGCGCGAAAATGGGTGGAGATGAAGAGTATAGGAGAACGTACCATTTTCCTTGGATGTCATGGAGGCATATTTTGCATTGACAACAATGACAAGAACTCAAGTGTGAGAACCAATTGCGTATATTTCTTGGAGGACGATGACAGAAACATGTACGTTTTTGATTTGGAAGATAATAGTGTCTCCGTCAACCTTCCTTGCTCTCATGTCCGTAAGCGAGATTTGACTTCCCTATGGATGTTGTGATATTTTTATTAAGTTAATTCATGTAGTACACGGTTCAAACATTGATTCTTCTTTTTGGCAGTTTTAACTGCAATTTAATAATTATATATTTATTGTATTCATATTAACTTTATGAAGTATTTCAGAACTAGACATGCACTACACGAATGGAGCCATGGAGGAGCTTCATAAACTTTATCAAAATTTGGTTCATAATTGAATACTTTTTTTGGAAGTCTGATACTGTAAGTGTATATTCAGAGAGGGAGTAGGTATCATTTTTGCACACCCACATATGCAGTCTATTTGTCTATACGTTGCCAAGGATAGGGTATTGGTCCAATTTCATAGCGCATACTGTATGAATCTATCATGAAAATCTCACCTCAAGATATATTTATAACAAAGAATCCAAAGCAGCCTTCATATAACTTCTACATTAGCTAAATATCCAGAAAGTGCATTCACGCAGCAGGAAGACACGTGCTTCATATTAATGTAGTACACTAGGACGTAGTTGTGTTTTGAGAGAATTCTCTAAATAGGAGTAAAAAAGTTTTGAAATTCCAAAATAGGATTATCATGTTTTTTATTCCCTAAATAGGAGTAAATTTCTGCCGAGTTTGGCATTACTAAGCTTTAAACATGGCATTTTCTTCCAAAATTTGGCAGATTACTCCTATTCAGGGAATAAAAAACTTGATACTCCTATATTGGAATTTCAAAACGTTTTTGCTCCTATTTAGGGCAATTTCTATTGTGTTTTTACACTTCTAATGTCGCGTTTTAGTTCCTAGCCCATATTACAAGCAAAATTAAATGTCAATTCAATACGGAGAATAAAAGAGGGATAACTTATATTAATATCGAGAAAGCATAAAAACAACATCTAAACTTAGAAACAATCATCTCAGGAAAAATAACCTGACTTGATAGATACTTAGCGGGCAATTTTAAGTCTAAAATGACCGGAACCAAAACACTCCCTATAAAAAGTACTCCATAAAAAATTCAAATATTGAAACCAAATATAATTGAACTAAAATAAAAACAAGCACTATTAAAGCAAAATAATATTAGAGTAAATCTTTTCCATAAAACTCTTCGTGGCATGGATGTGATTCTACATGAGAACGAGTCACTGCGCTAAAAAGAGGTTGATACCCAATATGATATGAACATGTAACTATAACGTCCAATTTGATATTTATTCCGATTTCGAAATACCACTTTTCTTTTCTAAAACATTTCATGACATTATAACATCCGGAAACGGAGAGGCATTATGAGCTCGTTTGATAACTATGTTTTTCGAATTATCAGACTTATCAACCAAACTTTTTAATGAAACACACTACTTTTGATTTCGCGCGCTGAATTGTGTTGTAATAAGAAAAAGTAAGCTTGGAGCTACTTTTCTGGTTGTATTAGCTGAAGTTAGTGTATGACCATTTTAGCTATTTTTCACATGTATATTTTTTTTAATAAAATATATTTTAAATATAATTTTTCATAAATGAGAATCAGCCAATACACTTCTAATTTAATAAATTTCAACGGGAATCAGACCGATATTGATTTAGTGGATGTGAGTGTTACCAAAACTTGGAGTGATAAATTTTTTGTTTCTAAAAATACGATCTAGTCTTTAATTTTAGACTCCTTTTTTTTTTAAATAATTGCCTGAAAATTACTAATTGAGTTTTGATTTCCAAAAGTGTTACCCATTTTTATTTTTCCAAAAAAAGTGATCCGCGTTCTCCCCTCCCTGCTCAATCCGCGCTTCAACTCACAGCGTAGCAATCGGCCCTACAATTTACATCTCCGACGCAATCTACCTTCGCAGATGGTAGGATTTTAACCTCCGCCTTCAACTTCGTTGTCGGCAGAAGCATAGATGAAAACTCCGATTTGATGCCTATCTTCTCCGTTGTCCTCGCTGGCCTCCCCTACCATGGACGAAGACTCCGATTTGAGGCCGAAAGTTCTGGATCCGCCTTCCTCAATGGGCGGCGACTCTGTTTTGGGCCCGTCGGTGCTGGATCTGCCATCTTGAAGGATGATGACTCCGATTTGGGGCCGCCACCGCTGGCGGAGGTGCGGTTGTTGTATTCTGTTCTTCCTGCTTTCCTTAAATGAAGAAAGAAAGCTTGAATCTGCCTGCTTCTCGTCCTCTGCACAGCCCTGCTTGCTTCCTCCATTCCAGATCTATGATGATGTTGCAGCGGCTGGGGAGTGGCGGGGCAGCGATGGTTCAGGGAAAGCTTGTGTTTTCGTCATTATTGAGGTGTATTCCCTTAGCTCCAATCTTAGTTAATGTTTGGAAAGTATTTTCCTTCCCAGGAAAAGCAAATCATTTAGTGGACACTGAATTGAAGTTTGACACAATTTCATTAATTATGCTAGACGACATAGTAAAATTATTTAAGCAAACTGTATACCAACATATAAACGTTGTTTGCTGCCAATGGGAATTTGACAATTGTTTTTGCATTATAATTTGGGCAGGAGAAGCAGCCTCAAAGAGCATGGTCAAAGGATCAGATATGGTCATTCAATGGCAACCCCAAAATTGTGGGCAGGAGATGAGATTGGGGCTAGAGAAATGGGGTGGGGAGCTGGCGGTGGAGTTGGGGGCTGGGGATGGGGAGGTGGTTGGGGGCTAGTAGGTGGCTTGGGGATCGGAGGGGGATGTTAAGGTGGCTGGGGGCCGGGGAGTCAAGTCGGGGACAGGGCGGTGGTGGCCCGATGATGGGCGGAAACAGCGGTAGGGTGGTGCGGTTTCACTGTGGTGGTGAAAACGTGACTATAATGGGCAGGGACGGGGGTGTGCGGGTTGCGGCGGACTAGTCGGGGCGGCGAAGGCAATCACTAACCGGCAACGGCAGTCATTGGACGGGGCAGCAACGGCAGTCATTGGACGGGGCGGCAGGGACAGTCACGGGATGAGGCGGCGACCGCAGATGAGGCGGCGACGGAAGTCACTACACTGGGCGGCAGCGGCTGTCACCAGATTGGACGGCAGCGGCAGTCACTGAATGGGATGGCGGTGTCGGCGGTCACTAATCGTGGCAACGGTGGCAGTCACCGAACCGGGTGGTCACTATTTGAAAATTGAAAGTGACTAAAATTGAGAGTGACTGCCAGTCACTGCGTATCGATTCTTAATTATACAGCCAGGTGTATTAAAAGGTCATATTATTGGAAATTCGTGTTTTAGCTCACTTTTTTGTAAAACCGTCTCTAATTAGTAATATATGTATAAAAAGGCCGTATGATACTGTTTGGAAGCTTCAAGTGAATTGTGAATACCAAATCGCTTTCAAAGATGTTTTCAAGCTAAAGCAGTTTTAAGTCTACCAAATATTTAGAATTTGCTTGGTTCAGAGAATTTGAAGGGTAAGATTAATATTGGTTTTGATATACTCCGTAAAAAATGTCTATATGTTAGTGGGCCCTTATAATTAAGTATTCCATGTTTCAAGAAAATTCCCTTTTGGAGTTTTGGTAACTTATATATCTAATATAAAATACTTTGGTTTCCACTCTTAGACATTGTTTTTCCGGCATGTATTTATACCAAAGGTCTGTTTGCAACAGCTTCTGCTTTGAAAAAAGTGCTTTTTTAATGAAATGGGAAAAAGAGATTAAATAAAAGTTGATAGTGTTTGAGAAAAAAGTGATTTTGAAAAGTAAAAGTGGGTAGTGTTTGGTAAAATAAGTGCTTTTTGTGTAATAGAAAAAGTAAAAGCACTTTTGATGCGGAAGCCGAGAAAAATAAAAGTTGTAGTGTTTGGAAAAATAAGTGCTTTTTGAAAGCCAAAAACTGAGAAGTTTTTTTTAAAGCAATTGCAAACCAACCTTAAAAGCTTCTTTATACCTTTCCCTCAAGAAGCATAGTGCAGACAAAATATGCAGGGATGGCCCTATGCAACAGGGCGACCGCCCTAGGCCCAAGAAAATAGGGGGAAAAATAGGCCCAAAAATATTTCTTTGTATGTAGTGTGAGTATGTTTTTTTAGTTTTTAAGCTCAATTAATTGGCTCAATGTTTAACTTTTAAAATGAATGTGAAGTGGCACTCCTCTCTTAATTCTCTTTGTATCTTTAAGTTTTATAATCCTTTTAATCAGAAAATTACCAAGTTATGTTAGGCCTCCAAAGTCCAAAACTCCCAATTCGCAAAACACATCCAAATTGATTTGTTAAGTTGTTTCCAAATTCCAATATGAACAAGAGTAAAGAACGCTGCAAAGCGGTGAATGCCTCAGAGGTTTGTTATGAATTGAAGTCAATCAATCGAGGTGACCAAACGGCGGTCGGTGACAAAAAAACTTCTTCTTTCAAGGCTTCAAACAATGCATCCGTGATCAATAAATTATTCTTGATAAAATTGGTGAATCGGGTTGGGATAAGAAGAGAAAGAGAAGAAGATTAGAAAGCACGGGATTAAGTTAGCAGGGATCAATGGAAAATTTTGTTTTTGTTAAGAAATTAAATCTTGAAAATTCCGTGAGAAACGTTATTAATTTTAAGTAATGCTTTTCTTTTTATATGATACTTGTGTTGTTACTTTTCACCAAATATGTAATTTAAATAATAATACTACGCAATAAACTGAGTTTCGTTTTAATTTAATGACCTTTCTTAGATAATTTTATTATAATTATTTATATTGTTAAATAAATATTAATTATTATTTGTCTTGAATATAATAAGCCCAAAATATTGTCCCGCCCATAGGCCCAAAAATAGACAGGACCGGCCCTGAAAATATGTCCCAAGAATATAATTGACCCGACAACTTATGAAAAAACAGGACATTTCAAATACTATTTAAAAACACCGATAACAATCTCGCATGTAATGCTTATTTATGAAGAAAAACATTACTTAAATTGGGCATAAGCTCTTGCGCCTTGCGCGAGTATCCAGTAGTGTTACAATAATGGAAAGTATTGCCACATGTCACCTCCACAATTGATATTTTAATATTACTTTCTAAATTAAAGGAATCTATATAAAAGTTAGGATGTTTTTACTTGGACTGTAATTTGCCCCAGACCAGACCAGACCAGTCCAGTCCAGACCAGACCAGACCAGTTCAGACCAGACCAGACCAGACCAGACTTGGATAGTTATAAAAATACAAAGAAACCAGACCTTACCAGACCAGTTCAGACCAGACCAGATCAGACCAGACCAGACCAGCAAATTACAGTCCAAGTAAAAACATCCTTAGCTATGCTCTTGCCGTATTTCACATAGAAATACTACTCAATTAAAATACAATTCCTATTATTTAGGAGTCCAACCAAAATAAAACCCCATGTTTTTTAAAGTGTTATAACTTTTCTATTTGTTCTCCGATTGTTATAAAGAATCTATCAAACTTCAAAATTCATTACTTTTTATTCTTTTAAATGACACCAATATTGAATATGAAAACATTATACATAATACATTTCAAAGATACAATTTTGAAAAGTTTTTTCATATGACAGTTACTAAGCAAACATTCATTATATTATTCTTGATTCCCTTTCCAATTGAGTTTCATGTATATTAACTCTACTATATACGTAGGCAAATTATACCGTGGTACTGGTATACCATGCACATGGTATACCAGTACCACATACGTCACCGTTTTTCCTTCTTTGGAGTCTGGAGCACTACGATTCTTTCCTTTCTTTTCCTTCAAGACTTAAGCCCTCCAGATTTCTTTGGAGCACTATCTCTTTATTTTTCTATTTTGTTTTCTTCAATTATTTTCTTCTCTCTATCTACATATTAATAACTGATTATGATTTTTCTTGTATTTATCTTTGACTAATTAAACTAAAATTGAATTAATTTCTTTCTTTACCAATTTGTTACAAAATTTTCCTAATCCACATAAAATAAGCACTACAAAATTTATTTTTGGTGTAATATTTTTTACATCTGTACACTTTTTGTAAAATATTTTTCATATTCATACACTTTTAAAAAAAATATTTTTTATATCTATTTTATATGTTTGTAACGTTTTAAGACATTAAGTTTGTTTATTTCTATTTAAATCTGATAAAACATGATATTACATTTTTCATATGTGTGAATAATGTTTGTACACAATTTCTGAAGTTTTATTTGATAGTATATGAAGTTACATCTTTTTGTGCACGAGTTACATTTGTTTATGCATGAGCTATATCTTTTTATGCGCGAGTTACATTTGAATTTGCATCAACAAGTTACATTTTGCATACACCTAAGTTAGATTTTCCATCAACGCGAGTTATAGTTTCCATAATGCGAGTTACATCACAAAATAAACTAATTAGTATATTTTGCTCACAGACAATATTTTGCACAAACAAAATATTGTCTATGAACCGGGTTCACAGACAAAAAAAACATTCACAAACATGGTGGATATAAGGTGGATAAATCAAACATTGTTGATTACATAATCTTGGAGACCTAACCTGCCAAAAAAAACAGGAATTATATTTCTTGGAGAGCTAACCTGCGATACTATTACGAGTATCACTACAGATTTGGAATATATTTATTTATGCTATGTTTTTATTCTCAATTATTGTTATTGTAGTAATTAACTAGGAAACTTCCTCTTTTCCTTATTGTTGACCGATACTATAATATCGGTATACTCATTGTATAAGAGAGGGACGTGCAGCAAAGGCATAATAACAAGCACACTTTATTCTTCTTCTTCTTCGTGTGATATATTTCAAATCTGTAGTGATACGAACTCCTAATAGATTCCTTGAGAGACAGAGCGTGCGTTGCTTGGGAGTTACAGAGGCGGAGGAGCAAATAGCAGAGGCACTGATACGAGAGGATTGGGGTAAGTTTTTTCAATTATATATTGAAATTATTATTACTTCAATTCATCGATCACGCGTACGCTTAGACTGCCCAAAAAATCGCAGGTTTTCATACATGACCATAAATCGTTAGTTCAATTTGACAACATGTGGAATTGGTCGTTTTTTCTTCAAATAATTCTAATTGATTGAGGATGTGGGACAAGCAATAGGTAGCTTGGAAGAGCATAATTATCAGGGCAGAAAAATACAGTTTAAAAGATTTGTTCTGGCACTAAAAGAGCAATCGTTCATGTATTCATCTGATCCGGCGTAATACTATTAATGAATTCTAAATTTCAAACTAGAATAAGCACAATAGCCAAGCATCTGTACCTTGCGTGCAATTGTTGGGTGGGTCTAACAAATTCGTCTGTTTGGATCAGTTCAACTTTAATTGTTAGAATCTGTTTGATATAGAGCTAGTATTGAGTCAGTACTGTTGCACTTCTTCAGAACTGATGCAATTTTCCTGATTGTTTAAGTTCAGATCTGGATTGTGTGCATTCTTTTTTATAGAAGGAAATAACTCAGTTATGGGAATATTACTCACTTTCAGGTCACAGCAATTGACTCAAGTGATAGAGCTATGGAGTTCACATCAAGTAATTCTGAAGGAAAGTTGTGCCATCGCCCTTGTTTTCCAGTTTCGCAACAGCCTTTGCTCTTTTTCCGTCAAAATGAAAATGGTATACTTTATAACATCACAGAGCAGTGTTACT